AAGGCCTCACGATCGTTGACATGTGTTGGTATCTTGATGTTGACCTTTTTTTTACTTTTTGCTGAACCAGCTAAAACTACTAAGGTGGAGTGTGGTAGTGGCAGAGGAAATTTTCAGTGGAGCGATGAAATGCGTAGATATCGGAAAGAACGTCCAAGGCGAAAACACTCTGTCGAGCCGATACTGACACTGAGAGATAAAAGCTAGGGGAGCGAATGGGATTAGATACCCCAGTCGTCCTAGTTGTAAACGATGGACACTAAGTGCTGAACGATTTGATCGGTTCAGTGTTGGGGCTAACACGTTAAGTGTCCCGCCTGGGGATTACGCTCGCAAGAGTAAAACTCAAACGAATTGATGGGGGCCCGCACAAGCGGTGGAGCATGTGAATACTTTTGAAGATCGCTATGCTTTAAGTTATATCAGAAACTGCTAATTCTCCTGCTACATTACAATACCTTGCACCTTATACTGAAGCTTCCCTTGTAGAGTATTTCATGTATAAAGGACGTCATACGTTAGTAGTTTATGATGATCTTTATTGTATAAGAATATAATAAATTATTTTATTATATTTTAATTCTAGTTCATATTATTATAGTGTGTGTATATTTTTTTTTCAAGTCTTATTCTATCTTTTAAATTTTTTTATCAATCAAAATCAAACAAGCAAGATGATCTTGAATCTTAGATAAATTTAATAGGCACAATTTATTTATTTTTTCAAATAGAAAGTAAAGATGAACTGAAGTCTTACTCTTATTATGTCTATTTTTGACTAAACTTATAATTTTAATAATACATATAAGTATTACACTTGCTAAGACTTCTTTGTTTACTTTTTTTTGTTATTCTAGCACGATGGACTTTACCTAAAATCCGTATTGATAAACTTCTAGATCTTGGATAAAAGTTTTTACTTCCTATGACAACGGACAATTTATTACTCACAGCTTCTTTTCAACTTACATTATTTGAACTTTCATAATACTGATTTTTTGGATTTTATATATACTATCTGTATATTTTGTCTATACTATATGTATCCGATATCTTATATCTATATCTTCTATCTATTTTATGTTTACTTTTATTAATAGTTTAAAAAATTATAGTCAAAAATATTTTCGAGTTGCTCGATATATAGGTCAAGGATTTATAGTTACTATCAATCAAATAAGTCGATAAGTTATTACTCTTCAATATCCTTATGAAAAATTGAGAAGTTCAAATTTATGAGGTCGTTTTTGTGACTGGGTTACCAACACTGAAAACCGATTATACATTGGATGGTTTGGTGTATTAATGATTCCTACTCTTTTGACTGCAACTTCTGTATTTATCATTGTTTTTATTGCAGTTCCTCAGTAGATATCGATGACATTCATGAACCTGTTTTTGGTTCTTTGCTTTATGGAAACTGGATGTAGGATTTGAACCTATAACAATGAGTTTACCCGTTCCAGTCAATCCAATCTTAGTTAGTCGGCTAGTTGAATTACCAATCGAACATAACAAGGTGTAGTGCAGTCTGGTAGCGCAACTGTTATTGGTACAGAGGATCATGAAACGAGGGTTCGAATCCTGTCACCTTGAGTCAAAATCAGAGTAAATTGACATGAAAATCAATGGACCATTATCACCTCATATTACTGTTTATAAGCCACAATTAAATTCTACTTTCACTATTTTTCATAAAATTTGTGGTGTTTTTTTAACTATTACTGTTTTATTTAGTATTCTTTTTGTCAAAATTTATGAACTTAGTCTGACTTTTTATCATACTGTGTCTTCTCCTTGTGTAAAAGCATAATTCAATCCATTATCCCTAGCTACAACAATTGGTATCCCAATTTTTGCTTCTAATTTAGGTGTCATTCCTTCAAATTTTATTTTAATGATTTCGGTTGTGCAAGTTCCTATCCATACTATTACACTTGGGTTTCTGTCCTTGCAAGTCCTAATTGAAAATAAAGAGAATTATATAGGGTGTCATATAAGTCATTATGACCACGTCCAAGTCTTCTTCCAGGAGGTGTATGAACTTCTAATATTTCTTTTATACTATAGTCAATCCCAAAGTTTGTACGGTACATATGACCTGCAACAATAAATAAAATAGCAATAGCAAGATGGTAATGAGCTATGTCTATAAGCCACAAACTTTATCGCCTCATCCAACCGGTCCCTCAATTTTGACTAGGGAGTTTAACTGACTTTCTCGACTTCCAAAAACAATCTTCTGCTTTGCGATCTCGAACTCTTGTTCGGCCTCCCTTCATCCGCTCAACTCAAAGAGCCGCATCTCTTTGATTTTGTCAACTTTCATCTGGTGCATATACTTCATATCCTTACAGTCCACTCGTACCATAGGTGCTTTGACCGGAGTGTGACGTGGTTGCACCGTCGCCTGAACAGTGGGGGTGGATAAGGCCACACACCCTCGTTTCAGTCCTGGCCGAATGACTTCCTGCCACCAGGCTTCAACTTCTACCCTGACATCGTCACATGCCTATCGAAGGACAGCCATCTCTTGCTCCATTTTTTCCAAACGTACCCTTGCCGTCAGTATCTCTTCCAGTTGGACCTTCATCCTTTCTTTCTCTGCCATTAGTTTGACCAGATCATCGTCATTTCCCTGAATCTTCGCCATCGGAGTTGTTATACGTACCACGTCCACCTTATGAGGGGCCTCTACCTTCTCCAACTTTTTGCCAGATAATATCAAACAAACCGCGTCCAATCAGCTATTTATACTGTCCATCATTTGTTTGTTGAGCTCCTCCTGCTCCTTCCTATCCTTCACCTTCCTCTCCTCATCTTCCATCTCTTTCTTGGTTCTTTCCTCCCCAGCCTGCTTATTTTTCTCTCGTTCGACTTCGACGTCGTGCCGAACCTTGGTCAACGCCACCGTATTCTCCAAGTACTCAAGTCTCTGTCGCGCCTGGTACCAACCATTCATTTTCTGGTAATTGGCTGCAACTTGATACCCACCAATCAAAAACAATAGCAGAAGAAAAAGCAGTACTAGAAGGTGTAGTAAGTAATAGGGTCTGAACAAGGACGATAGCAAAATTGGGATGAGCAGGACGTGGATGGGCGCACCATCTAGCGAAACGATTGGGATCACCACAATTAAAGCAAATACAAACAATGGAAGAAGACAAAGGAACATTACACTCCATCGTAAAAAAAACTGATGATGATAATAATGGTCAGCTGCAGTAAACTACAGTCAACTAGGGGCGAAGCCAGAAGACAAAGGAACATTACATGCCATTGTAAAAAAACTGATGATGATAATAATGGTCAGCTGCAGTAAACTATAGTCAACTAGGGGCGAAGCCACACAATTACGTAGTATAATTCCTACGGAGTTTACTTCGTGAATCGAAGTAGGTGTGAATGCACAACAACTTCGTTAGTATCATTCATCAACAAGAAGGACATCACAAGCATACATCAGACCATAAGAGATAGGGAAGACAAGACCAAACCAATTGAGAGGGTAAAAAGAAGAGACGCAATACGCATGAAGAAGGTGATGATAACACCCGAACGCGACTTGAAAACGAAAAATATATCGATGAAGCGCGACAACATGGACCCTACTAGTTTCGGCTGGCCCGCCAAGCAGCCATCGTCAGGGGTCTTGTTGTCGTTGCAAGTGTGTCATAAAAACCAACGACTTCGTATATATAGCTAGAAAAGACCATGTAGAAAAAAATACCAGTATCAGTGCGTCTGAAATCTTCCCTACAACTACGATATTACCGGATTCGAACCGTCGTCAGAAAACAGATTGTAAGATTTAAGTAACAACTCCAAAAACGTGCAAGGACGACTATAATCGATCCATCGTCGAGATGGACCAAGAACTGGTAACAAGTACATGAGGTCTCATGCTCGAGACTGTCTACCGTAAGAAAAAACATACTCAGTCAAACATCATCGGATCTCAACAGACTTTATACCCCACACGTACAGGCCTAAGGGGCTCGTTAGACACTCCTCGGGCGCATAAAAGTCCCCAAGGAATTGTTCATTCCACCTATCCTCGGGGATGTAGTCGGAAAAAAAAAGTGAAAACACTCCGAAGGAAATTCCTTGGACTCCGAGGATTCCCCAGCCATTTCGAGAGAGGGCACATGGGTAGAGAGACATTACAACCGAGAATCTGGATCGTGGCGGCACATTATTGGCTGAAGGCCTCAAGCACATCTTTTTTTTTTTTCTTTTTTTTTCTTTTTTTCTGTCCTCGGGCGATGTCCCCGAGGACAGGTGGAACGAAGGGCCCAAATTTCCTTTTGAACCAAAAGGATTTTTTCCTTTTGCCCGAGGATTTCAATAGGAGTGTCTAACGAGCCCCTTAGGCCGTTCCCTTAGCCGAACCTTGTTCATGCTTTTCTCTAATGGTTGTAAAAGGAACGTTCATGCTTTTTTAGCATCCACAGAGCACAGGTGGGACCGGTGCCTACCCTGCCGTTTTCAGACCGAGACGGGGGCGCGTTGCGATGTTCCTGAACGGAAGCACGAACCTACGTAGGACGGACGGGAGCTGCCCTCCTCTTCCACTTCGGTAGACCCGTTCCCGTCACGTCGGTTCCCACCTTCCTCGGCTCGACATCCGAGTCGGATCGACTGACGAGATTATCGTCGTTGCAGTATCCGCGAGTCGGGTGCGAGAAGGGCATTGGGGAGAGGGCACCTGCACGGGCCGGTTTGGGCCAAGAAGGTAGGAGTTCGAGGCAGAACGTAAAACTCAGCGTGCACAGGATAGTCACTCGATCAATACTCCATTTTGAAAATTTCAAACGCGATCACGGGCGGTAGGCGTTGGTGGGTAGGGACATATGGGCATTGGGGGTGCAACACAGTTCACACGGGGGAAGCCAAACACGACCCCTACAACCAGTTGCTTTTCCGTGTCTGCATCGCCCTTCCCAAGCGACGGTCGCGGACGGCCACGGTGCACAGGAGTGTCCGGTCGTTTGGGAAGTGCGAGCAAGCCGTTGTTGTCGGTTTGCCATGTCATGTCGGACGGCAGGCTCACACAACGTATCGTAGTCGACCTTCTCGACACTTGTAGAGTCGTTTTCTCCAGAACTCTGCATATCCGAATGTTTTGTCAGTCAGAGAAGGCTGGCTAAAGAGGATGAATGGTTGATTTGACACCCGTTTGCGTTGTCCCCATTGGCCGATGTTCCTTGACATTCGACTCGACGAACGACGAACACTACTGTTAGTGCCTGTAATGTAGTACGCGAGGAATTGACTATCTAAGTTCGATCGGGCGTTAGGGGTTGGAGGAGGGGGCGTTTCTTGAACGACTGTTTATGACTTGGCATATGGAGACGGAACAAGCAAGACTGCAAGACAAGAAAGCGATACAGCGCTCCTCCAGGCACTGGAAGAGGGTTCAACAAATGTATCAGCGTTCTGTAATCAGGTATTTTCTAATTATATCAATCAATCCATTCGACCGATCGATCGCTTCACAATCGACATTGTCTCAACTCAAGAAACGTAGATTTTCACGTCACTCGGGGTTGGGCTGCTGGTGTTGTTTGGATGGATCCTTCTTGTTTGCTCACAACTAGGCTAGATTAGACTTCATAGACCTCGTGATTTGGCTCGAGAAGCCAGCCAGGTAGTGGATCCTCACTCAACAATCTTTTGTTTGTGTTCAGTGCTCACCCTCGAGCTCGCATCCTTCTCTCTCTGTTGCTCGGCTGGCATTCAACCTTAGCTGCTCGACGAGGACCTGGGGATCCGTTTTCCCAATCGCATGGCCTCGGCGGATTGCTCGCGTGCTCTGGTACAACTGGAGGAAGCCTGCGAAGCGACTCTACTCTCAGCGAACTCTATCGGGGGATATACGCCTCACAGAAAATGTCAATGAGGCAGTAGAGAAGATGCCAATCAAAGAAGAGAGAAAATGGCAATGAGGCAATGACGTGAGTCACGTTGGCACCAATCCATCTGCATCTGGCCTTGTCTGCGAGAAAGGGGGGAAGGGTTGACGTGTCGGGTTGTCAATGAGAGTCCGTACGAACATGGACGAGGACGATAGGGATTGAGGGGCAGAAGAGCAGAAGGGGGAATACCATGAAAGAGGGGGAGGCAGTAAGCGGAAGTGGTAGTGGAGGAGGAGCAGTTGTGGGGAAGGAGGCGGGAAGAGAACGGCAGCGGGTTGAGAAAGAAACGGAGAAGGAGCGGCAAAGGGCGTTGAAGGAGGCGGAGAAGGAGCGGCTGAGGCAGGAGAAGGAGGCGGAGAGAGAGCGGCAGAGGCAAGAAAAAGAGGCGGAGAAGGAGCGTTTGAGGCAGGAGAGAGAGGTAGAGAAAGAGCGACAGAGGCAAGAAAAGGAGGCGGAGAAGGAGAGACAGCGGCAGGAGAAAGATGCCGAGCGGGATAGGCAAAGGCAGGAACGCGAGGCGGAGAGAGAGAGGCAGAGGCTGGAAAAAGAAGCGGAGAAAGAGAAGCAGCGGGTAGAGAGGGAGAGGGAAAGGTCGCTAAAGGATGCGGAGAAGGAGCGTCTCCGCGCGGAGAAAGAGATGAAGAGGCAACAGGATGAAGCCGAGAAAGAACAGAAGCGCCTCGAGAAGGAAGCAGAAGACAAGAAGCGCGCCTTGGCGCTCAAGAAGCAGGCAAGTATCATGGATAAATTTCTATTGAAGCCGTATCTCTCGACCGGCACAGCAGCAGCAGTAGCAGCGACGACGGCGGCGGGAGGCGGAGGAGCAGAAGGAAGAGGAGAAGAAGTAGGTGGGTCGATGGCCACGTTGGCTGTACTGCCACATCAGCAGCAGCACCAACCCCACATTATGGTCGCCGGAACCGGGTTAAACAAATCCGAGAGGGGTCCATTTTTGTTGTCCTCGAGGTTCTCTCCGGCGGCGGGCGAAAGCAGGCGCGACACTCTTTTCCTTCCGCCGACGGTCTCGCCCGACACAGTCGCGATGGCCACGTTGGGAACGGGGCCGCCAGCCACGTCAGGCATGGACGCGGAACTAGGGCAAGCTCGAGAAGGCGAAGTCGACATCGGCGTGCTTCGCAGTCGTCATCTATCTAAGTGGAGATGGGCCGGGCGAGATCACAGACGCAGAAAACTCGACAGGTGGGGAAAGCGGCGGCGTCCGAAGGCGAGCTCATCTTGGGGCCTGCTGAGGGCTGCTGGGACCTCCGCGGCGAAAGCGGCTCGCAATGGCCTTTCCTCGGCCGAAGGGGCAGCGAGAGGGGCGACGGGGGAACACAGCGCCGACGTGGAATATAGTACTTCTAATAAAGCTGTTGTTGACGATGCAGGTCTGGTGGCACGCGACTCTGACAGTAAACGTTCCCATCAGCAGGAGAATAGCGACGCTGACACCTGTCGCCAGCTCTTTGGCGACGATAGGGATAGGTTTATTGCGATGCGTAACGAGAGGACGACGTCGGGATCCGGACGAGAACCTCGTTTAGAGAGGATTGGAGGGCAAATGAAGACACGTGGCAGTGGGGATGGCATGATGGAGGAATTTAGGGAGAACAAGCTGGGGGAGGATGTGGGTGCCGTGGCGGTTAATGATGATGATGATGATGATTATGATGATCGTGGTCTAGGGCGTCATCGTCGTCGGGAAAGTGGGGGGCAAGAGGACGAAGAAGTGGTGGATGGGCTTGCATTCGCCGACGACCATGAGAATCAGCAGCATCTGGACGATGATGAGAACCGAGAAGGGACAGGGACCAGCATGAGACGGGCTCTTCTGCTGATGGATGAAGAGAGAGGTCGAGCGCCTAAGAGGAGGAAACTCCTTCAGTTCCATGATAACTACAGGCCTGCTTATTATGGAACGTTCTCGAAGCACAGCGATGTCATCGGTGCCAGGCATCCGTTACGGAAAGATCCGTCGCTGGACTACGACGCAGATAGCGATGCTGAGTGGGAGGAAGAAGAACCGGGGGAATCCTTGTCAGATCTTGATGTCAAAGAGTGCGAGGACGACGACGAGAAGCCGGGCGACGACGAGGACTCGGCCGACGGTTTTGTCGTTCCCGATGGCTACTTGTCGGAAGGGGAGGGTGCAGGTGCCGACGAGGACGACGGGACGAGTACGGAGGATGTAGCAATCGGACAACAGGAGCGGAGCAGGGCTAGAGACGATAGTGTGCCGGGTGGTGTACAAGAGAACGAGGCCTTTGCCGAGGACTTGGCAAAGTGGAGAGCCATGAACAAATGCAGGCGGCTGCTGGCGATGGCCACAGAGCGAGCGTTAAGAACGAACTGCCCTCTCATTGTGTCCAGGCTGCTGCCTCCGCTTCCCCCTCGTCCTCCTCTTCAAGCTCAATCTCAACCTCAACCTCCGGCTTTAGGAGTGATACCCGCGCCAGCAACACCCCCGTCATCAGTCGTAGAATCGCTTTTCGAGCGCGGGAAAGAGAAAGAGGGGATTCTGTCTGCAGCGCCGTCGGCAGGGCGGAGCCTTGATAACGACGGCAAAGCGGGAATAACATGTTCGATTTCGGGAGCAAGTACGCTCCCCTTCGCTAGTGGCGGGCCGGTCTCTGGGACTGTATCTGGGACCACCAGTAAATTGGACGATGCTATACTGCGGGCGTTGTCAGTGATGCCTCTGGAGGGGGACTTGGTTGTAGAAGCTCCGTGTCCTTCGGGCCATGGTGTCACGAACGACGAGATGCTGGGCGGAGGGGGTGATGAAGAAGGCCGGCGCAAAGGGGGGATGCGCAGATCAGTCGGGGGGGCGGGGGGCAAAGGAAGTGCCGCAGGGAGTCGTCATGGGCCGGGCAAGAAAGAGATGCTCGCTCAAGCTGGAGGAGGAGGAGAGGGAGGGACTGCATGTGCTGCTGCTGCTTCCAACTGTAATCTACCTTCTTCTCCAGCTGCAGTAAATGGAGACGCAGCCGCTGGGAGCGCTTCGAAGCCTCCAGGTCCACGTGTCACACCCATTACCAAGTTTTTTACGAAGGTTTCGTCATCTGTTGTGGCCTCTTCGTCGCCATCGTCGTGTCCTTCGTCCCCGTTAAACGCGAACTCTCCCCTCGCAAAAGTTCCTCCCTCAGTTCCCTCGGGAACAACGGTGCCATCGACCGATTCAAGGGTTGCTGTTGCTCTGCCGGTGGTCGCGACGGATGTCGTGAGCGGCAGCGGCAAGAAGAAGGCGTGCACTGCTCCCAGGACGAAAGTTTCGCCGACAATGGTCAGAAAGAAGAGAGAAAGTAACGGTGCCGCCGTGGTTGGGGCCTGCTCACCTTCTCCTTCTCCCTCGCTCCCTCGCTGGTGCGTTCGTATCGGCCATCGCGAAGCAGGATGTGAACCGGCAGATCGTACAGTGATCGTAGGAGCTACTACCACTGAAGGGTGCGTGAATGGTGGTGCGTGTGGAGCAGATAGTGTGGCGGGGAAGATAGGTGATGATGAAACAGGAGGAGTAGGTGGATCTGCGGCCGCTGCCGATTGTCGGGCGGACGGCAGTGGCAGTGGCCAGTTATCTATTGATTGCAGTGGAAGCGGCAGAGGGAAAACGAAAGGCTGCAAGAGAAAGCTTTGATTTTTGCGCCTCATGGTTGCTGTTGCTGTTTTTGTTCATGATTGATGATGATGATGATGATGATGAGGATGGATGGTGATTCTTACGAGGAGATGGCCACCGAAGTTTTTTTTGTATATTAATTGCGGAAGCATGAAAGAGTGAAAAAGGAGATGCTACCAGTTTTCTAATCCCATCCATCATATAATTAGCTTGACTTTCTGGAGTCCCACTCCCCTTGGCACCATGCAACGTCCCTCTCCATCTTGTCTCTCTGCAAGCAGCGTCTTTTCTTTTTCATGCCCCGCCGCCCCCTTTTTCCTTTTTTGTCTCCTGTGAATATAGTAACAAATTATTTTCTCCCATCCAAAATTTCTTGAAGTTTGGACGGACATGTCGACTGCATTCAACGGTCCCGACCGCTCTTGCGACACCTGGGTTTTCTTTTCAGCATGTACTTCAATTTCGAATGCTGATCCGGGCTACATTTGATTATTTTGCCGGTCTTTCATCCCGGTGTCTGAGTCTGTGTTGATCTGAACGAACAGTGGAAGTTCGTTTCTCCAGTGCTGAGCTGCTTGGCCGCTAATTGGTCCTGGTTGACGCTTTATGCCATCATTGCGATCGCCGGTCGGGATGTGGTGTCAGGCGTGGGGGAGTGTGTATTTGAGTGTGCGCATGGGTGTGCCGAGGTGTGTGTGTGTGTGTGTGTGTGTGTGTGTGTGTGTGTGTATGTGTGTGTGTGTGTGTGTGTGTGTGTGTGTGTGTGTTCGAGGAGAGCACAGTGTGGGTGCCTTCCGAATGAACTTGCGCACGATGGCCGGATTTTGATTTGAGTTTGGTTATAGGTTCGAACACTTGGGGAGCATCCTACCACTAATCTTCTCCTGACTGGCATCTGGAAGTGGGGTTTCTCGTGTTGAGAGAGGAGGGTTAGTAATTCAACGCTGTAGCGTGGCCATTCGAGGAAAATGGGAATAAGGCTAATAAACAAGCTCATTGTTGCTGCTTCAGCTTCTGCAATCCAGACAGTAATCAGGTTTTTTCCTGGTTTAGCATGCATGTGTCAGAGACATATGCAGAGACACACAGTACACAGACTGAAACACACACACAGGCACACACACACACACACACACACACACACACACACAGAGAGAGAGAGGGGCAGGCATTGCAGATGAAGAAAATGGAGAGTGTGACGAGAGGAGGGGATGCTAACAGTGTTGTGTTTGGTTTGTGTGGTTGACGAGGCTTACATGTTGTTCTTAATGAGAGACCCCAGCTAACGATTCCCCCATCTTTCGAAAGAGGGCGAAGGGAGAGTGACTCAAGATTGTCCCTTATGTGAATGGAAAGGGGATCTTGAAACGACTGGTTTGCCTGAGTGGTGATGGGGGCTAACCAATTCCTGTTTGTAACCTGTATCTCAACTGTTCTCGGTGTGCAACCATTAGACCATCAGGCCCGGATTACAGGCCTTGCCTTTGTCAGGTGGGGGGCATTAAGCTGTAAGAGTGGTCAAAGTCTATGACTAGGTTAGTCGGTGTTATTGCCTGAAAGTAATCTGCAAAGGCAGTTTAGGGTCGAGTTGAGGCAACTGCTGTTTGGTTCATATATATCTCAGAGAATTGACATATCCCTCTGTCTCGCTCAAAGGTCACAATGTTGCAACTTGCTACTCAGATGATCGATATTGTGTAGTCACTATCTCGCTGCACTATATCCGGCATGATTTTGATTGGCTGATTGATGGATGGATGGAGGGATGGATGGATTGATCGCGGTGTTATGATCCTTCTCCATCCATAGTGGAAAACTCAAATTGTAAGAAATTGAAAGGCATTCCACGATGCAGACCCCAAATCCAAATTTCAGGGTCAAGGTCTCAAGCCAAGGGAGGCCAAGTCGGCCAGTTCAGAAAGGTCACAATCTGGTACCTTTAGGAGTCAAGTCCAACAGGCACCCAATAAACAGTCTACCTAAAGGCAAAAGTTGCATTCTGTAAGCAAAAGTTACGTCTTATATTGAAGAGTCATGTCCCACAGGCAAAGGACACGTCTCCAGGCAAATGTCGTGTCCCAGAGGCAAGAGCACAACCCACAGGCAAAAGTCATGTTCCACGGATGAAAAGTCGCGACTCACAGACTCAAGCAGCAGCACACCAATGAAAATTTGGGAAAAGTACCAGGCCTTGACATTCTGAAGCAAGCAGGCCATGGGCATGTGGTACCGGGTCCAAGTGAAGCCAAAGGAAGCAGAGGCTGTGACGAGATGAGGCTCAGTCCAAGTCAATATAAGGACTGGCCAGCCACATTTCGGGGAGTTTGCTCATTCATGAGAAGTGTGGAAGTGCTGCTGAAGCGCGTGTGCGCTATCTGCGAGTAGCATGCGCACAATAGCCCTGCTGGGCAGCGCTGCACTGAGAGGGGAGGCGGCCATAGCCTTGTAAGTTAGTGGTAGGGATAGAGCTGAGTAGCAGTGGACGTCTTCCGAGTCAAGATTCTCAAGAGGAGAGAGAGAGAGAGAGAGAGAGAGAGAGAGAGAGAGAGAGAGAGAGAGAGAGAGATGAGGGTGCTGGTATCGAGTTGCTGAATTCTGCGCTGTTGAGTGCTTGGTGGCTGGATCTCTGAAACTGTTTAATGTGATAATTTATTAATTTGTTGGAATTTCTAAGCTGCACATATTTGGACTTCGCACCTCTGGACTCCGGTGTGGATTTCGTGTGGTCTCTCAATGTGTGTGTGTGCTCAAGGTGTCTAGCAGTGAGGATCAAAATAATTGGTATTGGAGCTGGTAACTCGCTGCATCCGGCGGTGATGAACGCTGGCTAGATTAAGGCTGGCGAGTGGAGATTGGGAGTTTGACGTAGGGGCTGTAAGCCGAAGAAGAAGTGGCCAGTATTGGGGGATAGTGATTACGTACCTGCATGCGAGGAGCGCCGAGGAGCTTCCTCGGAGGAACGTTCACAAGTGAAGTGCATCGCCCCCTAAGCCCTGTATTTGCTTTGTTGAATGAATGAGTGTCTTGGTACCTTCCCACATCTTGGTGTCGCTGCTGCTGGACAGAACACTAGGTGACAATCTGATTTGTCTTGAGTCAGCGTCTGGTCAGACATATGTGTATGAAGTAGGTTGTGCGTGTAGGCTAGAAAGTCAGCAGCTGGATGTATCACCCGTAACGTAGGGAGCATGGGCATGAGCGACGACCGCTCGTACAACAACTCGTCTAGCCCTAAGACCGGCACCGACTTGCATGGGACCGAACATGAGCTGAGGCAGTAAGGAGCTATAAGTTTTGAGAGTGAACATTCAAATCCTGGTGGGCACGATGTCCTGTCTGCGTCGTTAAATAATTCTTGAGGTCCTTGTTGGCCGACCTTAAGCTGCTGGTTGCCCACCAGCTTGATAGGGTAAGCTGTAGTGACACTGTGGGGGGGAAGAACTCAGGTCAGACTCCAATCTAGATTGGGTAGTTTAAGTGGTTGAGGGTGAGGTCTACGTGGTGAGGAGGTGGAGGGTACATACCTGTGCCTTTAGTAACCATGAATGACTATTCAGTGTTCGCTATGTTGACCCTGTTCGTGCTATGGGGCCCACTCCTCCGATTCCTCTTTCCTTCAGGATTCCACCGCGCATGTGGCATGAGTGTAACCATGAGATCTGGTGGGGCAACACAACCATATACAACAGATCAACAAACAGAACTTGATCGGAAGATGGTTGAGAAGAAGGGAGACGAGGAGGAGAAGGAAGTTAAGAAGAAACTGGTGGAGGAGAAAGAGAAAATGAAGAAAGAGATGAAGAAGAGAGAAGAAAAATTGAAGGAGGAGGAGAAAGAGAAAATGAAGAAAGAGATGAAGAAGAGAGAAGAAGAATTGAAGGAGGACCTAGAAGTTGAAGAAGAAGAGGAAGGAGGAGGAGGATTGGTGAGGAGACGAGCCCAACCAGAAGGAGAGGAGGTGGCATAGAGTAGCCATGTTGCGGAGTTGAGACTCCAATCTAGATTAGGTAGCTCAAGTGTTGAGGGTGAGGTCTACGTGGTGAGGAGGTGGAGGGTAAATTCCTGTGCCTTTAGTAACCATGAATGACTACCCGATGTTTGCTATGTTGACCCTGTCCGGGCTATGGGGTCCACTCCTCCGACTCCTCTTTCCTTTAGGATTCCACTGCGCATGTGGCATGAGTGTAACCATGAGATCTGGTGGGGTAACACAACCATATACAGCAGATCAACAGGCAGAAATTGATCGGAAGATGGTTGAGAAGAAGAAAGAGGAGGAGGAGGAGGAAGTTAAGAAGAAACTGGAGGAGGAAAAAGAGAAAATGGAGAAAGAGATGAAGAAGAGAAGAAGAAATGAAGAAGGAGCTAGAAGTTGAAGAAAAAGAGGAAGAATAAGGAGGATTGGTGAGGAGACGAGGCCAACCAGAAGGAGAGGAGGTGGCATAGAGTAGCTATGCTGCGGAGTTGAGACTCCAACAGGTTGAGGACTTGGACTGGGTGGAGAAACCTGGGTACCGGACAAAGCTTCCGAAAGAAACTGATGAAGAGAGGGATCGTTTTGTAGCGAAGTTGGCAGCAACAAAGGATCAAGAGGTGATTGAGGAGAAAAAGGGAGAACTCTATCAAAAGTTGATGGCTGCAAGAAGGAAATAATTTGAGGAGAAGAAAAGCCTGAAGGTGGAAGGGGAGAGACTCCAGACGTTGTTGAAAGAGCAGAAAGGGAAATAAGTAGAAATTGAGGAATGCTGAAACCTTCTGACCGACACTTTGCTGCACACCACCCAAGAACTCTCTGCGCTTCAACGAGCCGTTGGAAAGGTAGAACAACACCAGGAGGAGTTTAAGGGCATTTGGAATAACTACCTTAGTGCGTCATCCAACTAAGTGGACCATAGGGTCCTACAATATTCACGCCAATTAGACGATAACTTCACTTAGAAATTGACTAACACCATCGCTCTAGTTAAACCACTAGTACCTCCGAACCTCTTTTCGACAAGTACTGTTCTACCTCCGAACTTTCAAGAGGTCGAACCCGCCGTTGATTAAATCTGATCGACGGCCGTCGTTTCGTTTCGGCCTTCTGAAAGGTCGGAGGCCGAGTATTTTCCAACCGACAAAGGTACTAGTGGTTTAAGATAGGTGGCGGTGGCGGGGGTGGAGATGGTGGCGATGATGGGGATGGAGACAAGAAAGGAAGGGTCCCGCAAAGGATGATGGACGGAAGGAAGGAGAGAAGTCCGAGGGATAAGAACGAAGGGAGAAGATGAAGGTAAAACTCCCTTGGACATACACTGGGAAGAAGGAGGAGTGCATTTTTCATTGCGAGGCGGCGATGGACACATACCTGTATGCGAAATTGATTCCGTATTGGGATCGCGTACTTATGCCAAGTTTGTGTCTAGGGGGAGATGCAGCAAGCTTCGCAATTTTGTTGGTGAAGGAGGCAGACTGTACCTCGATGATGGAGTACTCACATCGCACTAGGATAGAGAAGTTTTCGAAGGCCTTAAAAGACTGGTTCGAAAATAAGAACTTAGCCCACCGTACTGAGTCCCTCATCGTCAACATTAGTGACCACAAGTGGAAAAGTGCGTGGGCACTTTAGGCCATTATGGACGAGCTGCTGCAATGTCAGGAACATGGACTGACCCCCACTCAAATCCTAAACAATCTCGCTAGAGGACTTCCTGAACCCCTTAAGACCCAATTATATCCCCATACTAAAGAGGAGGGGATGACTTACGAAAAGTTCAGTGAGATCGCTGTAGACCATGCAGGCTTCTTGCAAGAGGCAAACTATTGCCACTACTGGAAGGATCTGCAAGCCGGTAAGAGGTGGAAGAATAAGACCGTATCCAGCAGTATAGAGAGGAAGGATAATCTGCTGGTCACTTTTGAGGAAGGAGGTGTAGAGTCGTTGCCATACAACCAAATAAATTATGGTCTAGAAGAAGAGAACAACAACCAAGTAGCTCGGGGAAGGGACTATGTAGCAGTTG